GCTACAATTTATTACAACTTATTTCTATGCTTATAATTTATTTATACTGGCTTCCTGGATCAACAAATGGAGCGGAACTTGTGCAATTGTACAAATTTAAGACACTTTCTATTAAAACGTTCCACTTCTGTACATAATACAATTTAATAAATCAATATGTTAAAATAATGTTATCCTATATTCTTATACTGTTGCTATGAGCTATTGAGCTGTATAAATTGGAAATATTTTATTCTCACATTACACGGATGATAATCATTTTCAGCTATTGAATTAAATGATTTAAAAATAATTGGTTGTAAAATCACTCTATTAATTTCCAAATGTTCAATTACATGATGTATCATTTAGTAGGTAAATTCAAAATGATTCATTGATTCATCATTTTGAATGTAATTTTGTAGAACAATTCCATATTTATATCGATAGTAGCAAATCTTGTATAGGTATAGCCATAAGTAACATTAGGTTTAATTATATTACATCTATTTTAGGTACTGTAAAATATATAATTTTAACTTTTAAGCCGTTAAAAACACGTTTATTAAGTTTTCAAGATTGCGAGTGCCGAGTGCTGTAAAAACTAAAATGCGACATTCATTTTTATTTATTTATATACCTATACCTATGTATCTTGAAAACTTCCCGTCCGATTCAATTGAAATTCAACATAAATATTCAGCCAGATCTGGGGAAGGTCAGTATCTATACGAAAATCACAAAATATAAGTTCTGTAGGTTTTAATGATTGTCCTTGAAATGTATTTATTGTTCATGTGAATGCAAGTCTTACAATAGGTATAAAAATAAAAACATAATATTATCGAATGACAGCTCGGGCGAAGACCAATAACCCCAGCTAGTATTATAATAATCACAATAACAACAGATTATTGAATTCAATTTTAAGATTATGGTACCCATGGTAAATGGTAGATTCAAATTAAAAATAATAAAGTAGGTATACAGTATATCTGTATAATATAGACTTTTGTAGTGAGGTATGTGTATAAAGCAGTGGTAAATGAGTTCAGGGTACGATTAGAGATATCATGATCATGGACTTGGACTAAGATCTTGATCTACGTGGTCACAGCACAGATTATATGATATTAATAAATATTATGATATAATCTGTGGCCACTTAGCACGGTTTTCGTGGGGATATGAACTACTTATCAGTGGCGTAAGCAGGATTTTTCAATGGGGAGGGCTTGAAAATTAGTAATTTTTATTTTGTCCAGTCTAATGATTTCAGACGTTTATTTGAGGTATTATATAAATGTTTGTAATTTTTCAACTTTTCTGGTAGAAACAATGCTCTGATCATAAGCTTCAATGCCGGCCGATGTACATTTTTGGATGCAAATTGGATCTAGTTGGTTATTTTTAGGAGGTCGAAATTGAAAATGCTCAGTGCTTTTTAAAATAATAGGAGAAATAAAAATGAAAATTTATTAAAATTGTTTGGCAACCAGCTTCGTTACACAGCCTCACTTGGATTGTATTTGATTAATTAAAATTTTCTTTTTTCTATAAATGTCAATAAAAAAATATTTATCCGGTCAACAAGTTTAAAAATGTAATGCGTAGGTAAGTTTTTATTATAGCTAAAATATTAACGATACCTACCTACATAGGCAGGCATCATGGTTATTTTTTATAAGCGTTTAAAGTTCAAATTTAGTCAAAACCACAGTTAATTTGTACCTATAGTTAAAACTTATAAAATATTAAATTTGTATAAGCTAAGACTAGAAAATCTAATACAAGGTCTTTTATACAAGTAGTTCATACTTTTACCGAAAAATTACAGATTATTTTAGGAAAATTGGTATGCAAGTACAATGTTTTTTCAAAAATGAATTCATTCTGGTGAGTATATGAAATTAACGTCTTGCTTCCTATAGTTGACTGCAGTTGAAATTTGATAAATATTTTTTTGTAATAATAATACGGCAATGGGGGGGGGGGGTTGGCTTCAGCCCGTTAGCCCCCCCCCCCCTGCAGACGCCACTGCTACAGTGCTACTTATAGTAGTTCATGCAATCATGCGTGCGGGGCTACAACTCCGCGATCACGATTTAAGATATCGTGTCCGAAATTTAAGAGGGTATATTATCTTAAATTGTTGGCTACTCTAATATTATTAATTATTATGTTCATGATCGTGATTCGTGAGTATATAGAACCTTGACATCAGAGCAGTAGAGCTCGTTGGGGCAAAAATCCAGATGTGCGGCGCCACCTCAGCTGATAATAATATTATAATATTAAATTACGTCGTGATATTATCTATGGTTATTAGTTTTTGTCATAAACATAATATTATTATTCATTACTCATGAATCATGAGTAATTAGCAATTTGGCACAGATATTTATATACATATACTACTAGAAAAAAAAAATAGATGCCCGACTCTATATTCCACGACAGTGTATTGAAGCCAAAGGTGGGCAATGTTTACAATCTGTTATGATAATAAACAATAGATTATCTATGAATAAACAACAACATTTATACAAACAAGCCCGTTGCCAATCAAAACGATTAGAATTTGTAAACATTGCCCAAGTGACAAATGGCGTTGGGCATCATAATAATGTTGTATATGGAGTCGGGTATCTAGTTAATCATTAGAACAGCGGCTGTCTCATAAAACACAGTAAGTGTATTTCACAAAATTTTTCAGGGAGAGCAAATTAGTGAAGGCGCTGTCCATGCAACTAGATGGAGAACTAGTGTATATAATTGACCATATCTCATAGTACAGTAGGACCAGAGTAACAATTTTGATACCATTACAACCGGAATACTATGTGGAACAAGATAAACCAATAAAACGTAAATTGATAAGAATGTCACAGAATAGGAATAGACAGCCGAGTAGGTTAACCTATTGTAATAGGCTAACCTGGTTATATTAAACCGTGGTTATATCACAGAACAATATTACATATATATGTTATATATACATCTGTGGGTCTCCGAGTCGGGCACTAGGGCACACAGATATATAAATATATAATATATAATAGTATATATCTGTGGTAATTAGTCATGATATTATTATTATAGTTGATCTGTTTATCTAATATCTATGATTTTGTACATTAACTGTCATTAAATAGTATACCGTTAAATACTATACTATCTATCAAATTTTTTCACTTAGGTAGTTAGGTACCCATATTATGTTATAACTTAGTTATCGTCAATTAAATATCTACCTATGCTAAATACCTTTATTGATTGTGAATTTTTCAAAGTAAATTTATTGTTGTATCGTTTTTGATTTCTTGTTTCAGTTTATATGTTTAAATTTTATCGGTTATAGGTAATAATATAACATAATATTTGTTATAGTAATATTGGTCAAGTAAGTGAATATTTAGTGATTAATTGTAATAAATAAAACTGTAAATTTTTTTCATATTGATCAGAATTTATAAATTAGATTTTTTTTAGAATGTCTAATATGAACACTAAGTCTTCTACTACCAAGTTAAGAAATAATGAAACATCAAGAGTCCGTACCCAAAATCGACCAAATCCTGATTCTGGCTTGCAAGTAGATTCCATAGCATCTGGCTCTTTACGGATTTCAAAAGTAACTATTACTAAATTTAATGTTATATTGATTTTATTAAGATCATTATTGTATTTTTCATGATTGATTGAATAGCCAACAATAATTTCTGAACCACGTCGACCAAAATATGGAGGTAGAGGATTAGCCATTAAACAACTAGCTGAATCTATGTCTTCAAAAGACAGTATGAACAATTCAAATTCGGTTTGTATGATAATTATCACTTCTAAATAAATTATGATGTATATTATTATTTTTTGTACTATTTAATTATTTATTCATATTGGCAACCAGTGCTCAAATTGGGAAAAATTAAGTAGAGGAGCTCATTCCAATGATTTAAAAACTGTGTTCCAAGTGCAATATTAATTTTGGGCATTAATTTAAAATTCATTAGTTAGAGCATTTAAGCTTTATTATATTTCAAATATATTATAATATGTAACTATGTAACATGTAAGTGAATGCGTACTTATATTCACCCAATTTTTCAAAAATTTTCAAATTACATTTTGTACATTCAGACATTCAGTCACTTAAAAACACATTTTTTTATATTATTATAATTCCTATTTTGAAAGCAATGCATAGGTACTTGTTTCAGTAGGAAATAAAAAGAAATTATTATTAGTGATAGTATCTTAATTTGTGGTACAACACTAGTCCACAGATATTTGGTAATATAATAGTTTATTTTACCTATAGTCCTAATACCTATGTATAATATATCTGTGCATTATTGCACTAAGCAAAGAATAGGTGTGTAAAAAAGTACAAAAAAACTTAAATAAAAATAGCAAGGTATTAGTTAGTCTAAAGTCTAAACCATAGAAAAGATAATAAGCTAATATCATGTTAGTCCACATTTCAGTGAAAATTAGTTTGTGTAAGCAAAAAATAAAACAAAAATAGTAGAGGAGCTGGTTGACTAGCTGGTTCTCTTCTTAATATGTTATATTTTAGATTCCTCATATAATTTTTGTATTCTTCAACTCATTTACTGATGTATAATTAGTTTATTAGTAAACATAATTAGGTATCCGTATTTAACAATATATAATTACTTAATGTTTATAGAGCTATTCAAATTCAAGCATAGAGCAGCATTTCAAACATCTTAAAGAAGAAAATTTAAAAAGTAAGTTTTTAACATGATTCTGGATTACATATTTAAATACTAGTTATAATATTTACTATCGCACTTATGTATTATGTCTAATAATAATATTAACTTTGTTATCAGTAACTAAGTATTTAAATGTTAAATTTTTGTTATGAAGGCAATTAATTTGAAAATTGAAATAGACGGAATATAGATTATATTACATTACTATTAGTATTTACACAAACAATTTAAGATAGACGGGCTTAATATATAACTGATAATCAATTTTTTTGCAGAACTCAATGAAGAAAATGAAAAGACTTGGGGAAAATTTATACATTCCAATAAGAATACATAATATTTAAAAGGTAAAACTAATAATTAAATTGTTTTTATTTTGTAATAGATTAATGTATATACTTAGGTACAGAAGAACCTTGATAATATGAAAAAATCAAAGTTTTTCTGGAATAGCAATTATTCTGGATTAGTCAAGGTGTTGCAAGAGTTCTCAATGACTAAGAAATTTAAATCCAACTTTATTAATAAGTTTTGATGAGTAACAAATTAAAAAAAAATTTTAAATAATTACATATTGGATACTTTTTTTAATGTTGAACAATATACACAATACACTAAGCAGAAAAGAGGTAGAGTAGATCCTAAATAATGAAATTGTTGTTGATAAAGTTGTTTCATAGACTAATTAATAATTATGTTCCGTGATTTTGGACAAGTTACCATTAATAGATAATTTGTTGTCTGGACTCCGGACTACCACATTCCCTGGACTTTCTAGGTTCTTCTGTAGTATAATTTTAATCCTTAAGAGGGCTCTACACCTGCATACCTTCTCTCTGTCTTACAAACACATAACATAATTGTACTTTCAGCAGATCACCGTTGGCTCTTTTAGTTAAAAATTAGGGTAGTTGACCTCTTATAAAATTTAGAAGTAAGAATTTAGTAAGTCAGCCTCAAGGTTTTTTCTATTTTAATTTTAAAGCAAGATGGGAGTATTATACAATTTTTAATTGTTTGTACATTTAAAAATACTCATAGCTTGCTTTATATCCAAAAAAAAACCTATGAGGTACTCAGATAAAGTAATCCTACCTTTAAATTTTAGTAATACTCACTCTAATTTTTAAACTAGACAAAGCTATTTGTGATCTGGCTGAGCATTCAGTTTGGTACTGTTTGCTTTGTAAGACAGAGAACAAGCATGCGGGTGTAGTGGCTCTCTTAACAGATTAGTCAAAATCATTGGCAAATTAATTTTTCCATATTGGTCCACTGTTTAAGTACCAATATTTAATTTGTGCCTTTCAAATGTTGAGCATAAAGCTTAGTTTGCTTGGAACACTTTAAGTAGTTCAAATTAGGTTAAATAATTATACCTAGATATATATATTTTAATTTTTAATTGACTTAACAAATCATGTCCTTGATAGTTTGAGTGTGGTGGATTATATACTACGGGGTTGAAGAGGGACCTGTTAAGTGTGATACGAACGTCAGTTTAAATTTAGGTAATAATTTATGTGTTCATGATTAGGGGGAGGGAAATATACTAGTTATATACGGAATGTGTGAGGAGTCTATAATGTGTGTATAAAAATGGACGTTGGAGATATGAAGTGTGAAGGACTCAAAACTACGGAACAGTTGTCAAGAAAAAGGATATTAAATAGAGTCCTGGTCAACGTGGAGGGTGTTAGAGCTTTATTTTTTCAACACCGATAGGATTAACACGTGGATTTTTTTTTTTAGCTCACAAAGATTTGACATATGTTTGTGTTTATTTTTAAGGAAATGGTATTGGTTGCAAATATAATAAGAATATTTGAGCAAAGGGGGGTACAGGCAGTTTAAAATCTTAGTGATAACTTTTTTATGTAAAAATGTGTTTCCATATAAATGATAGTCATAATGTATATTCTATAAACTATATTATATTTTATAACATATAATTATTTTATATTAATCTAATCCTCTCTAATTTTTTCAGGTATTTGTTAAGTGTTTGAAAATAATAGTTGACGATTTGCAGTGACTTATGCAAGGACAAATAAAACTATATCAATATGCATATAAGATGTATATATATTTATAATTCTAATTTACTGTAATATGTGATATTTTTGTATTGGTAATTAAAATAATTTTATTGTAAAATTATAGATATTTTTTTTTTTTGTAACAAATTAAATATTATGATCTGTTTAAAGATCAGTTCTGTATGAAAACATCAAGTTAATTGATAGTAATTATTGTTTCTGTTTTATTTTTTAATATATTTTTAGTATATTATAATATGCCTATTAATGAAACTAAATTATTGAATACTTTTAATCAATACATTTTATATTTTATATAGTATTTACATGATAATTAATATTAATTATATTGAAATAATGAAATTGCCAATGTATACATTTTAAATATAAAAAAGGCCTGCAAGTGGGTACCGCTCTGCTGTACAGTATAGGTGTCGAGTGGGTCACTGTAATGGATGTGTTAAATTTGAAAATGACCTGATAGGTCTGCAAAACCGGAGAGTGTCTTGAAAAACAAAAAAAAGTGAAAAGAGCTGGGAAGTGCGGAGGTGGTAGAAGTTTGTCCATCGTCTCTTCGGTCCTCTGACATTACTACAGTATTTGATTTGAATGCAGTGATTATATTCTATAATCAATGATTCTGAGCGGAAGAAACAAAATGTATGAATCATAAATATGTATTAATAACTAATAAGTAACCAAGTATTGTATAATATAATATACTTAGTGGAAATTAGGTAATTTTTAAATTGTATAAGTTTCTATTGTGATGAACAAAGCGTTAGAAAAAAAATTGTATCAACTCCCCACACACTGTTGAGGTAGCTGTTATGACAAAATGAATCCGGAAAAATAATTTTACCGCCACCACTGCAGTGTGTGGCGACCTTTAAGGGTTAGAAAAATAAATTTTTGTGATTTTTCCAGTGGCCTTTAAAAACTATTGGGAAAATCGAAAAATAACTTCTTTTAAGTACCATCTTGATTCAATTTGCTAATTATGTTGAAATCAATACACCTTTTGGTAGAAATCTTGTTTACAGGATAAAAAAATAAAATAAACATCATTGTAAAAAAAACTACTATAGCTTCCTCGCTCTGCTCAGAATCTAAAATGATAATTTTTAAATGTTTTGTGTAATCCGTAATGTGTAACTATTGATTATAAATACTATTATTTATAATCAATTTATCAATGGTGTAACTCAAAACTAATAACCGTAGGTACCATAGAATATAGATAGGTACACTTGAAATTTTCATCAAATATGTTTATTATAGTTTTCAGAATTTTCCATACATGGTAATTACATTGGTACTATTTTCAAACTCTTCTGAATGTTTTTGTGCCATTCAGTCATTAGAAATTTTTTAAATTTTCTAAATTATTTTTCAGTTAGGAATTCATAAAAATGGTTTTTTCATAGCTAACATGAGAAATTTTAACGGAATACTGAACAAGTTTTTCTACTTTTATCAAAAAAAAAACTTCTCCAATAAGTAACGCTATTATCATACACGGATATATTAGATTTTTCTTTAATTTAATTATTTATACACAGATCATTTAAAAAGAACACACTTACCATTATACGGCATATGCCCATATTAACAAGGGTGGGTAAGTTAATGATATTTTTTAATTCAGTTAAGTTAAGTCAATATGCATCAATAACAAAAAGTTAAAAGTTAATTTAACTATAGGTTAACTCAGCTAAGTTAAAAGTCAATACCTACATGGTTCTTGTTAACTTTTTAGTAAGTTAAAAAAAAATTAATTTGTTTATACTAGGCTATAGCGTACTTAATTTTTTACCAAACCATAACTAAATTATAGACTATAATAGTGTTATTATACTTAATACAGTATTTCCGTATAAGTTAGATTCGAAATATATAATTTTTTAAATTTTAAACAATTCACGGTAATAACTCTCCTTTTTACATGCTGAAAATCTGGTTTCTTAGTTATAACTGTAGCCTTCTCGGTTCTTTCTCGCACTAAACAGTTTTCGCTATGTTGTACTGGTTGTACATTTGTTAGACGGAGACAACACATGTGGGTATAGCGTCTTCTTAACAGTTAAGTTAATGAAAATCCAAAACTCGTCAGTAGGTATCTTCTCTAGTCGGCAATTCAAGTCAGTGGGTAATTTAAATAATATATCCTCGTATTTTTCAAAATCGACGAGGTAAAGAAATTAAGGAAAAACGGAATTTTGTGCAAGACAAACGTTTTTGACAAAAATGATTTTGATTGTTTAGTGTACCCCCCCCCCACCCCCCAAAAAAAAAATACATAACTTTAGATACATGATATTTTTTTAAATAATAAATTATTATCATTGGATGAATTGGTCGTTTTCTATAAATATTTATATTGATTTAAATGCTTATTGCCATACTTCATTATGCGCCGTGAGGCCATCGTCGATGTCTTTTTCAAGAAATATTCACTTTAAATATGTTTACAATTTTTAAAATCATAAATAGATACATCTGCACTGATTATATGATTTAGTGCAGAATTTAGGCTTGGGTCCAAAGTAATCCAAAAATATGTTTTCGAATAGTTGATTTTTAGTTCATTGGCGTAGGTCTCTCGTTTGTATAATATATCGATAACAATATACTTACAATATAATATTATTATGTTAATTGGATGATTGAAAATTATAAAAATATTGGTACCGCCCAAAGGTTCGTACGACAAAAAAATGTGGAACGCTTCACGATTTTGCGTGTCATCCTTGCGCAGGGGCCATGCTAATCTTCTCTGTATCGTTCCAATTTTAGTATATGTACTGCCGAAGCAAGTACATTGATAGTTGTGCCGAATGTTCCTTATATATAGCGCAGTGTTGTCTGAGCATCACATGCGAGAGCAGACGTATAGCTTGTTCTGAACATAACGATTGGAACACGAACACCGACAGATGGGGCGAGCTACATCCGGAACACGACGGCCATGACAATATTATTATTTTTGTTTTTTCGTTCGTACATTATAATATTATTTCGTTGGAAATGTAATAATATTATTATTGGCCATTAGGTTACGCCATTACGGTATACGGTTCCAAATAAATACAATTCCTTTCCAAAATAATATTTTGTCACGCCTGCACCGAAAGTTTGGTTTTCGACCACGGTTGAAGCGTTCGAAAGCGTCCTTTTTCCGTCCAGCGGGCGGTAAAGTGGAAATCCCCAAAGTGCCGGGCGGAAAAGAGGAAATCCCCAAAAGTGCCGGGCGGAAAAGAGGAAATCCCCAAAAGTGCCGGGCGGAAAAGAGGAAATC